TTCATTCTTAAAAAAAATTAGAGTAATTAATAAATATAGTTTCTAACCTCTTTAATAAGTGATTCTTTGATCTTTATTTTTTAATTTTAATAAAATAGTCACCCAACATTATTAAATTAATGCAATTAAATTTTTTCCGTCTTGATCTATCAAATTTCTCACGTTAAAACTCTTACGTGACCTGACGAGGGTTATTTTTATAAAATTACGAGTAATATATTTGAAATATAAATATTTTAAAAAGGCCAAGCAATATATCTGTAGAAAAAAAAAAAACCCAAAACCATGACAAAAAATACGAATGAAAAAAAGAATGAACAGAGGCGATTCTTGGCGAAGGGAACCAGAGACAGAGTATTGAAAGATGATGGAAGAACATGGGCGATTCTTGGCGTCGCCTGAAGAACGAAATCGTCGACGGTGGAGGACAGAGAAGGAACGTCAGCGCCTGAGAGGGGAATCGCGGCGGTTCAACGACAGAAATCATCGGCGGAGGAGCGACTTCGATTGGGTCTTGGTCTGCCGGCGTGATTGGGGTTGGGTCAAGAATTCAGGCAAGATTTGGGCTCGGTTCTGAAACTCCGGCTGGATTTGGACTGGGTTCCGTGATTCCAGCGCGATTGGGGCTAATTTCCCATAATCTATGTACAGTTGTTATCTAGGTCTATTATCTTCATCTAAGCAGGTCTATTATCTTTATCTAAGCAGGAGTTTATCTATAAATTTCTGATTTCACTTGAGATGGCCCATCTCTAGAAAAAGCCAAGGTGTAAGAAATATACAACCGGATGCAATGCGACGAGAAAAAGAAACAATAAAATGAAGAACACACTTGGATAGCGCTGACAATGGCACCAAAGTGACCCAACATTAACATGAGTTCAATCCTGTCGGCATTCTTCACAAGAAACTCCTGCATTGAAAATTCAAATGAGGAGAATCAACTAAAAGAAATGTTGAATTACCTGGTGGGTATTACTGCAACTTAATTTTGGTACGATTGGAGTTTGCCCTCAGAATTTCAGCGAGTTTGGGGCTGGGTATGCAGAAATTGCTGTGCTTGGAGTTCAAATTAGGAAGTTTACAAACGGCAGACTTGAAATTGGTGGGTTTGTAACTCCAAGACCCAACGTTTCTCTGGGTCTGGTTTCGTAAGATTAAATTGTGAATTTGAACAGAGAGAAGTGGGCTGGAGAAGGGAGCAACAAATGAAGGAGGCAGTTGGGTTTGACCGTTTGAGTTTTCTTTTTTCATTTATTTTATTTTGTGATTTGATTAAAAAAAAGAAATCAGGGTAAACTGGTCTTTTCAGCATAATTATATGTCATATGAGAGGCCACGTGTTAATTTTGTTAAAAATTTGACGCATATGAACGAAAAAGATCCATTCACTTCGCTTATTCAAGTTTTTCTATAATAAAAAGCTTTCATAAATAATCATATTTAATTTTTTTACTGCAGTAAAAAGTTCTCACATAAAATCACATCTCAACTCGAATTCTAAACTCGAATCAGCGAAGTGAACAAGTTTTTATATTTTTAAGTTACAGTGACTTACGCAATGATTTTAAGTTGAGTTTAAATTATAATTATATGAGTTGAAATTGTAATTTAAATTTGTATTTGGATGTGCACATTTGAGTTATGATTTGAATTGAGAATCTATTTAAGTTTGTGCTTGAGTGGGTTAAAACTTAAATTTATATTTAGATAGTATTTTAATAAAAATTCAATGCGATGAAAAATTTTAATAGAGTATATGAGTGATGTTTTATTCATCTTTTCGTTGTGAATGGATAAAAAAATCATCTCAATCAGAATTAAAATGAAAAAGTTATGATATTTTTAAGAATAGAAAAAATATTATTTATTAACTTAAGTTTGAGTTTATGAACTCGAATGGAAAGGAAAACTTAAATTCAAATTTAACTCTAAATTTGAGTTTAAATTTAAATTTAAAAAAAAAATATGAACGTAATAAAATTGTAACTTGAGTTTAAATATTTGAGTTTTATGAAAAAAATAATCCCTTAATTATATCAATTTAATGATATTAGAGATTATTTTATCAAAATTAAAAAAAAATAGAAATCAACTATTAGAAGTTGGAACTATCTTATCAATTACTCTAAAAAAATTAATTGCGATTACTAAAAAATAATAGTAGTAAGTAATTGCGAGAAAGTGCCATAAATTGGGAATTGCGAAAACGGAAGACCCTCGCATAGCAAACCACTAACCCGAAAGGGGACTTTTTTGATTAGGGGTTTAAGAAAAGGGAATGCAAGGATAGGACTATACTGATTAACCCCAATTCTCAGTATATATTCCGCTTGATTGCAATGGTTTCCCTTTCAACCTGGTTCCGATACGTCGCCCACAAGTTCGAATACTCCGTCTCTCTCAGTTGGAAGGTTCGAATTCGCACTTACTTCACTTTGTTTGTTCGTTTCATTTTATTGTTTTTGCTGTTATTCAATCGATTAAAGACTTCATTTTTACATCCGGGGAGACGGATAGTATTAGAATTTGTGTAGATTATCGCAGTTATGCTCCGAATTTTAGTTTTTGTTATCCGACAATGAAGGTTTATCTGAAAGTGGTTTTTGTGTGTGTGTGTGTGTTAATTACTCCTCATCGCCGTTTGCAAAATTAACCTCTTGAATGTTAGGTTTCGTTTATTTTTCTATATTGTCAGTTGTTGATTTTAAGATTTTGGCATTCTTAAGTATTTAAAAGTTTGTTAAAGAGCAAAAGCAGTTTTTTTTTTTGTGTGTGTGTGTGTGTGGTTGGTTTACTTTTCTAGCAGAACTTCTTTCTTGTCTGTTTGTTTCTCTAAACATTTGTTGTGTTTCATTTTATATGTTGAGATGATGAGGTAAGAATCACAGAAAGTTGTGTTGAGTTGCAAAGCTTTTCAAATTTGCTTTAATTTTTCTGTTGAGTCTGGTGCATTCCAGGATATTTTTCGATTGCTTTTCGTATGTATATTTTAATTCTTCCTTGCTGAAATTTTAATGTGATGCAGAACTATAAGATAGGTCAAATTACTGACAGAGAAGTAAACGATGCCGTTTGGAAGACTTTTTTCCATGGAAAGTTGACATACTTGCATTGGAATAAAGGAGAGGAGATGGCCCCAACTATAAGCGGAGGGACGCTTCTTGTCCGGAAATTACCACTCGCCGATCCTACGTAATTCTACCCTTTTTATTCGAGCTCTTATTTCTGCTCAAATTTATTCTTGCTGAGACTAGTTGTGGAACATTTTTTTCTCTTCTATGTGGAAGTTGGAAGGAAAAGATTGTTACTGAGCTTTGACCCTCTATATCAGTTTCATAGTAAGAGCCACGGAGATCCGTCTGTTCTGAATTTTGGCCAGTGGTTTTTTTCTTTTGTTCAAAGGACAGCAAAGTGTGCCTAGTACTTTTATCCTGATATTCTTTGATAACTTGTTATATCTTCTTGCTTAACTATTTGTCACAATTTTAGATGCACTATTCTGAATCTTTTTGTATTCTTTCCCAAGAATTTTAATGAAAACTTTAGTCACAAATTGCTCTTATACTCTCTCTGAGCTATTTTGTACTTAGCTGAAGCTGATAAGTAGTTAATTAGGATTTATATTGTCAATGATGAAGAACCTTCACCTTCTCATGAAAAGTGTATTTGTTGTTTGTCAAGTTGTATTTCTTCCTGTTAGTTAAATTGGGGTTCATAGTAAAACTTGTCATTAATTTAGGATGCTTGTTATACCTTTTATCAGAACTAGAACTGAAATTGAGATTGGGAGTGTCTATAATGAACTCATAATGATTGGGAGACCTAGATCTCTGACTCAACTCATGACATCCGCATGCCCAACACTTTTTTGTTCCTTTTTAGAGTTGTCATTTTCTGATTTAAATCATCCTAGACACAGTAGCTGTGGGCCATTCGAGTTCGGAATTTTTCTTATTCTGACATCTATTAGAGAACTTTAATCTTGCTTTGATGTCCATATCTTGGATTTTCTACGTAGTCATTGCTTATAAGTTGGACTGGATTTCAAGTCTATAGTTTCTGACAGTAACATCACACAAATCATTTTGCCAGGCGTGTTTCTGTCGGAGATGTGGTGTTATTGAAGGATCCTGATAATGAAAAAAATCATATAGTACGAAGATTAGCTGCCACCGAAGGGTATGAAATGCTGTCTACTGATGCAAATGACGAACCTTTTGTCCTTGAAAAGGATCAGTGCTGGGTCTTGGCTGACAATGAAAAATTGAAGCCCAAGGTCCTTTCCATTTCCTTAGCATTTCATTATTGTGAACATACAAATATTTCTATCAAATTAATGGATCAGGACGGACCTCAAAAAACTCTCCTCTTTTTTTGGAAGAGTTGGACATAGGTGCTAGGATAATCAGAGGGTTTCCAATACTAAATTAGTTAGTTTTTGTAGTTGTAAATTTGTTGAGAGATTAGAGATAGACATCTATGCCTCATGGTATCTATTGTGCAATTTGATTCTCATTGAATCTTTCGAGAATCATGCATACATGGGTACTATAATTACTCGCGAGATTGCATTTTTGCTAGTCCTCATTTCCATGATATCATCGATCATCATCTAATTTTAAGTTCCTCGTGGAAGTAAGCTATTTCTTTTCCCGACTTAATGATTGGATTAAGGATAACATTGAGCTACTAACCTCTGTAGTCTGTACTTTAAATATTTGGAGAAATAACCTCTGCACATCAAATATTTGGATAAGTAAGCTGTTCTTTTTCAACTTGATACATGGTAAATCAAGATTAAGAGTTTAGCCTTGATAAGGCTCCTTTTGAGTCTATAAATGTGTCTGTCCATCTCTTTAGCAGATTTAATAATTACATTGGAAAACATAAGCAAGGAAAGAGACAACTATTTATCATCATCTTTTAATTTGTTGTAAAACTTGATGATTTTACTATTTACTTGATGAGTTCACTGCACTGTTATTTATCTTATTTATGATGGCAGGAAGTTAACGACAGTCGTAAATTTGGTCCGGTTCCAATGATGGATATAGTTGGTAGAGTCATATATTGTCTACGAACAGCCGTGGATCATGGACCTGTTCAGAATAAGTATGCTGCCCAACTTTACTTTCTCACCTCGTTTTATGTTGTTTGATGGTAAATGTTTAGTGATTGACGTGGGAATTCGGTGTGCTCTTTTTTTTTTTTCTCTGTCCAGTTACCGTAGCATGCGTAAAGATTCTGCGGTGTTGGAAGTGGAACTGGACGTTGATGAGATGGCAAAAAATCACAAAGCCTGAAGGTTTTCCTGCATAAAGCGCTGGCTCATTAGTTCGTAGGTATTTGCTACCCACCCCCATTTTCTTATGGGATCATTTCATCTTCTTTGTTTCCTTTGCTTGTCTGGGTTGAAGAAAGGAAGAGTAAATTGGTGAAGATGGAATTTTTAGGTGGTTCATCAGATCAGAGATGGTGGATTTATGGACCAAGTTAGCCAAGCTGAGAAAATTTCTCTCTTTCCTGCTAGAACATTAAGCAGCTTGTACCAGAATTTTGAGTTTCAAGTATTTATAAACTCTTCTCAATAACATAATTGTAGTCTGGAAAACTACAAAATAGAGAAGAAAATCCAGTTGATATGATGATATCTATTTTCTGGATGCTTGTACTGTTCTGTATTCTGCTGTGACACCTTTCTTTCCTTCAAAGAATTCAACAATGAGTTTTTTTTTTTTTTTTCTCCTTTTTCCTTTTTTAAAGGCCTCTGGGTTGTCTGTTACCATTGATAGCCTTTCAATTTTATCACACACATCCAACGACCTCTATGAAACCAATAAGAATTATTAAGTCTATATTCATTGACAAATATACGGTAAAAGTTCTTTTATATATGTGAAGATCTCAAATTAACTTCAATTTTGTTGTTAAATAGTTTCTGGTTTCCTCGTTTATTTTTTGAGAAAAACAATGAAACAATTTCATTTCTTAAGAATTTGGTAGAAATTTGGGTTCAACAATATATAAGGGGGCAGTTCTATGGTGGGGGGACAGTACTTTAATATAGACCATTCGATCAAGATCCGCTGGCTAAGAAAGAGTGAGCACATTAAAGAGGAAATAAGCTTGGATGTTGGGAATAGAAGAACCAAGAACCAAAACCAAAAAAATAATAATAATAATAAATATATATATATATATAAAATAAAAAGTTTGGAAATTTGGTGGAGGCTTGACGAGGAGCTCGTCTCCTTTGGGAGAGGAGGCTAGATGGGGCGGGGGCGGGACGGGGG